GAATGGCCTTCTGCTGGGAGCGATTCTTCCTCCCTGAAGGCAGAGGATGCTCCATCTGTTATATTCTGTATCTAGAATCATAGAATCACAGAATGGTTTTGGATCGGAAGGGACCTTAAAGCTCATCTTGTTCCAACCCCTCTGCCATGGGCAAGGACCTCCTTCCACCAGACCTGGTTGCTCAAAGCCCCATCCAACCTGGCCTTGAACACTTCCAGGGATGGGGCATCCACAGCTTCTCTGGGCAACCTGTGCCACTGCCTCGCCACCCTCACAGTAAAGAATTTCTTCCTAATATCTAATCTAAATCTACCCTCTTTCAGTTTAAAATGGTAATCCCTCATCCTACCACTACACTCCTTGATAGAGAGTCCCACCCCAGCTTTCTTGCAGGCCCCTTTAGGTACTGGAAGGCTGCTCTAAGGTCTCCCCAGAGCCTTCTCTTCTCCGGGATGAACAGCCCCAACTCTCTCAGTCTGTCCTCACAGGAGAGGTGCTCCAGCCCTCGGATCATTTGCGTGGACTTGCTCCAACAGGTCCATGTCCTTCTTGTGTTGGGGACCCCAGAGCTGAAGGCAGTACTGCAGGGGGGGTCTCACCAGAGCGGAGCAGAGGGGGAGAATCACCTCCTTTGGTCTGCTGCTCACACTGCTGTTGATGCAACCCAGGATACGATTGGCTTTCTGGGCTGCGAGTGTGCATTGCCACGTCATATTCAGTTTTTCATCCACCAATAGCTCCAAGTCCTTCTCCTCAGGGCTGCTCTCAGCCCACTCATCATCCAGCCTGTATTTGTGCTTGTGATTGCCCGACCCATGCACAGGACCTTGCACTTGGCCTTGTTGAACTTCAGGAGATTCGCACAGGCCCACCTCTCAAGCCTGTCCAGGTCCCTCTGGATGGCATCCCTTCCCTCCAGCGTGTCGACTGCACCACACCGCTTGGTGTTGTTGGCAAACTTGCTGAGGGTGCGCTCCATCCCACCATCCATGTCCCTGATAAAGATGTTAAATAATACTAGTCCAAATATGGACCCCTGAGGGATACCACCCATCACTGATCTCCACCCGGCCATCGAGTCATTATATTGCATTAGTGAGCAGCACCGTGCAGTGAGCTCCTGCCAGGGCTCCGAGTGCTTTCGCTAGCACCTGTGAGAGGCAGGGCTTGCACAGACAGCAACTGCTGCACAGTCTCGTTATTTGAAGCTCTCACAGTCATTTATTTTTTTGTTCATGGCAGAAATCAGGAGGAAAATTGGTAGTTTTATTTGGGAGCAGATGGATGATTCAGTTGCAGAACAGGTAAGATAAGAAATTTATGCTACAGGAGGTGTAGCTGAAAAAAATATTGGTTGTATGAACTTCAGGGAGCCCGGTTTTCAACCCAGACCCTCATCCCAAATAAGCGATCAAATCTTGCTTGCTGCGCTGTGTGTGTCCCTCTCAGCGTGACATCCCAGGGGGGACAGCACCGGATTGAGCATGGGATGCGCAGGAGTGATTTTCTCCCTCACCCAGACAGATGTCCAGTCTGCCCGGCACATCCTTCCGGGGATGCTGATTGCCGAGGTCTGAGCGCAGCCCTTTTGTGTGGCATCTTCCATCCCCATGTAGCTCCGAGACACTGCCCGCTCTCTTCTTAAAGCAACTTCTCAGTACATTTGAAGTGAACACATGATTAGATTTAAAATTTTATTCTAAATTATGCTTGAAATCACAAGTCCTAAAAATACCACTCTCTTGGACCATGTCTCTAGTGTTTTGCGGGGTACCCAGGACACAATTTTAACTCTACTCTGTACTGATGCTCGCAGCCCAGTGAAAATCTGACAGATGAACCGGAGGCAGTGAGAAAAGACTGTGAGAAAGAAGCAGAGGAGGATGTGCTAGACCTGGCTGAAAGGTATTTTCCTGCCTTCAGTGGCAGGATTTCAACACGTTCCCCAAATTTCAAGAGATCCCCAACCCACAGGAAGTAACACACAGATTTTTTTCCCCAATACAGCAGTGAAGAAGAAACAGGCTCCAGAGCACATGGCCATGGGGAATTTCCATACCGGGCCCTCCAGGAATATCCGATGAATAACATGGTGACAGGTAATGTTCGGCATTGGTAGATTTTTAAGGAGTGGAAAATATGCCTGAAAATGATTGTGGATGAAGCAGGGACCCCCGTGTGCCCCTCACTTCTTCCCGGTACTTATAGCAGTGGGAATGCTGAGGGTGTGACTGGCATCGCTCCCTTCCCCTCCACGCTCTGCATTTTCCATTGTCCTTGTTTTGTCTGAGGAGAGGGCAGCTCCCCTGGTGAGACCTGCGCTTTCCCTTCGTAGGCTATGCCTCTGCTCGCGACATGAAGAAGTATGTCGGAGAGCTCCGCGATTTCATTCCCGGGACCTCGGGCTACACGGTATATTGGATTCAGAATGAAATTAACATTTACTCTGACATGAAGACTAGAATGAAGAGAAAATTCTAAGTAACAGGTGGCTGTTTGCATCAAAAACTTGAGTAAGAGCTGCCAGAGAGCTATCAGTCGTGTCTGGAAATCTGATCCCTTAGTTAGGATGCTGGGATGCCTCCTTGCTTGCTCTCTTCTGCAGACTGATGGTTATTTTACCCGTCAGTCTGTGTTCTTCCCCGTATTTTAGTTAAATAGCAAAGAGATTGGTGGTATCGAGCTGCGAATTCTGAGTTAAATCTCCGTGGTACACATGGGATTTATAAATTATCCCTGCTTGGCTTATCCTGACTGCAGCTCAGCACATTTAAGGTATATTTAAATACCTGGCTACATTTACTGTAAACATTTTCTTGTTTAAATTTTAAATTTAAAACAAATTTCACAGCTAACTTAAATATAGACATTTCTCCCAAAATCACAAATCCTTTGTGTTTTTATTCGTACCAGGGGTTTTAAGATGTGGCTGTGAACAGTAGTTTTCCTTGGAGGGACACACTGAGGTCTCCTCACAGAGAGAAATCGCCCCATTGCACAGCTGCACCCACCCATGGTACACGCTCACCAGTGGGACCCAGTGCCATCACAGGGCTGGCAGGACAGGCAGGGGATGGCCTAGGATCTCCTGGGCACATGGGGAGCTCCGTGGGTGTGCAGAGGTTTTGAGTGCAGGGCCCCAGACTTCCTCAAAGCAAAACCCACGTTGTGCTGGAGCCAGTCATACAAGACAGGGAGAGAAAACCCAGGCACCCTTGCCCAGCCGGGGTGCCCAGGAGCGGTGCCCTGCCCACAGGTCATGGTGCTGGATGATGCCAACAAGCCAAGGTGGAGACCTGTAGGTCTCCTCTGCCTCCAAGCAGAGCCTCTGCATAGCAGGACAAGAGTTTCAGGGGGCGAACCCCAAAACTCTTCCATACCTGTTGCACTCTGGGGAAATTGCTGGATGGAGCATCTTGCTGGGAGGACAGCACAAGCCTCACCAGGGCCCATCTCCACAGGGAAGCATCCACCCCCAGACACAGCGCACTGCTCAGCCCAGTTCATTCCCCTCATACAAAGAAAACCATCAACAAGACTTTTCATTTAAGCACTTAAAGTGACCAATGTGGTTATAAAAAGCAACTTTTATTCTAGCACAGCATGACCCCCAAGCTGTCCACTCAAAGGAGGCAAAGGCAAACCCGGGAGGCGCGGAGGGCAAGGAGCTCTGGCAAGCTCTGTCGAGCCATTTCAGTCGTCCTCTCCCACCACCCTGGCAGCAGGAGAGCCTGTAAAGTAACAGCTTTGCACCTCACATCCCAAACAGCCAGGAAAGAACCCCAAAAGATGCCAGCAAACATGAAGGCATTGAGTCCTCCTCACCCTCTGAAGCCTCGGACACCTGTATTTGGGATGTGACACCCTGAGGAAACAGCCCTCCCTCCTCATCCCTCGGGACGCAGGCTTCCAAAGACCAGGCAGGCTGAGATGGTTTCCCCATATTTATTGGAAAAGTGACATACAGCGACCGACTCAGAGTGCTCCTCGGGGCGTTTTGAAGTTCATCCCCACCGTGGGCTGTGTCACCTGCAGGTTGGACAGGCTGCCAAAGTCCTGGAAAACAGCACAGGATTGGGATCAGTCACACCACCCTGCCCACCATCTGTGCCTGACCCTGCCAAGGGCGGAGGCAGATTCCTCCTGCAAGGAGCAGGAAGCGTGAACACACTGTGGTGGCACAAAGGGTGGATTCGCATCTCCAGAAAGAAGGGGAGACGTCCACCCCGCTCCGGAGGTTAGCTCATTGGTGAAGGGAATCTGGTCTTTTTATGGGCAAACCCATGTTCACCTCCACCCAGTGAGAGCTGATGAAGACGCCCTTGGGTGCTGGAGGAGGAGGGGAGGGCAAGGAGCATGCCCACCCTGCTAGCGGGGTCCCGGGCAAAGCCACCACGCCTCTCCCCTCCCAAGAGCCGTATGGGAGTTAATCTGCCTGCAGGTCCCAGGGCGAGGGACCCCTGCCACGTGCCCAGAGAGTTGAAGCCTTCAGCCAACGCCATCAAGCACCTCAGGGCAGTGGGAGCGCTGCTGGCGACATGCCACCACACTGGCATGGTTACCCTGGGCAGGGGGATAGCTGCGGCTACTCACCAGGAGCTTCAGCATTTCCTTGGTGTCTGGGTCCACTTCGATGATCTCCTGGTCGAGGGCAGAGACCTGGGGATGGAGGACAGACACACAGTTTGACGAGGCCCCACAGCCATGTCCAGGCTGCCCCTGGGGTGTCCCACACACTCACTCCAGTCCTATCCCACCACAAACAAGATCTCGCTGCCTGTCACGGGGAATGGCTCCAGCAACAGAGTGAGCCAGGAGGACCCTGATGGAGTCCAGCTCTCCTGCCAAAACACCACAAGAGGCCACCTGGCAGCAGAAAGACCCCACACAGGGAGACAAGCGTTTTTTACAGCAAGTCTTTGGAAACCCGAGGACTAACCAGCTCCACGCCAAGGCTGCTGAGAAGAGTCGGGGTCGGGTCCACAACTGCACCAGTCCCGGTGGTCACCACCGACACTTGCGCTTCTCCTGTGACATCAGTCTCCAAGGCCAGAGCCCAACCACCGTGGTACCAGACATCAATGCCGAGTGACCGCCTCCGCTGTCCCACCCCCAGCACCTGAGGTCTCCTGCTCTTTAATCCCAGAGTAATCTCCTCCAACCCCCTCCGGACCCCAAACTTTGATCTCCATGGGCTTCCTTCCCCAAGAGCCTACGTCACACCAGTATTTTTGGAAGAAACCACAAATAATGCAGGCTCAGCTAACGTTGCTACAGCACAGATGCTCCCTTCCCTGCTCGGGGTCCTGCCAGGGGTGACCTCTCCCACCAGCACCACCTCATCCTGCCATTGAGACTTGGCTGGAAGGTCACTATGTAAAACACAGTCGCCCTAGCTGGCTCCTCCAAGCCTCCGACACCAGCTGTGCCGGTCAGCACTGTGCTGACACCTAAAATCCGGAGCGTTGAAGCATCTGTGAGAGGAGCTGCACAGAGCTGCCGGTGTTTCACACATCATTTCCAGCTGTCAGGAGCGAGGGAGTCAAACCGAGCCCTGCTCTCTTGGGGAGAGCTGTGTCACCTCACCCTGGGCTACAAAACCAGGAAGGTAAAGCAGGAACAGTACTCCCAAGGCGTATCTCCAAGTGGGGGGGGAACAGCACCAGCCCGCCTTACCACACTGCCACGGTGCCCATGGCATCCTACCAACGTACCTGTTCCTCCCAGATCATCACCGAAATCACCTTCCATGTAACCACACCGCAGCATCGACAATTTGGAAGAGCCGAGGTAACAGAATTAAGCGTTTCTGTGCAGCACAGAAACTAGCGGCTCTACCATAAGCCAATCAGGGAGATCTGGAAGAGGGGTGAGATGCACCATGTCTGGAGGCTACAGGGTTTGGGAGTAACGGGACTGAACCCACTGAACACAGGAAACGCTTCTGGAGCTCCTCTCCCGGCACTATCAACAACCGGGTCACAGGTGAGTCCTCAACTCCTCGCAAATGCAGGTTTAAGGGGAGAGGGAGTTTCAGCAGTTCCCTCTCTTCAGCGACATCTGCTGTACAGCAGGTTTTAACTCACTCTGAAATATTCTCCTGCATTCCATCAAGTTATCTTTTTCCTCATTTTAAGTTAGGAAAATTGAGGATGGCTATCATCTGCCAACCGGCAGCAGAGTCAAAACGCAAGAAGTCAACTGCCCTTCCCACCCCAGGCAGCAGTTTTGGAGGGAGTGCCCCGATACGAGGCCAGAATCTTCCTCAGCCCTCCCTGACCCAAACCTTTCTCAGCTCCTCGTGGCTGAGGTTCTGTTTTGAAGAGATTTGGGGCCACTAATGGAGAAGACAACTCGATGCAGTACGGACAGATGCCGAAGCGGGCACTCGAGCGCAGCCAGAGCCTCACCTCAGGGACATAGTTGTCCCTCCTCTCCCTCTCCTCCTCCTGCAGTTTGATGGAGATGCCTCGGACAGGTCCCCTCTGAATACGCTTCATCAGGTGGGTGACATACCTGTGGGGGACAAAGGACCATCCAGGGGTTCTCCACGCTCCCAGAACCCGTATTTCCCTTCTCCACCCTCGCGTTCCCAAAACCATGGCAGGCTGCGGAGACGGAACGCCTGCCGGCAACCCTGGCATTGTCCCACCACCTCCAGAGAACATCCGGGATGGAGAAGTGTCCGACAGCAACAGGGCTTGGGAGGGAGGGGATGGACCCCCCCAAACACGGGAAAGCTTTCGGCACTCGTCTCCCTGCACTATCAATGACCAGGCCACGGGTGAGACCACGATCACTTTCGAATGCAGGTTCCGGCCGGAATTCCCACCCGTGTACAAACACCACGCACCGAAACACGTGGCTCTTCCCCCCAGACGCCCCCCCTCACCCTGCGATCTTATTCCGTAGCTTCTTGCTGGGGATGATGGCGATCTCCTCGCACACCCGCTTGTTGGTGTGGAAGTCGTTCCCCAGGCGGGTGTAGTACTTCTCGATGATCACCCGGGCGGCCTTCTTCACCGTCTTCGTGCGGACGCGTCCCTGGGCGGGTTGGAGGCGAAGGAAACACCGGTC